GGAGGCACAGGCTCAAAGGAGGCAGCTCTAACCATTTCTTCATCACATCTTGAAATATGCAATTTTTGGGAGATACCAGTCAACATGATCACTTTCTTGTTCTTGCTCTGACAGCATTTCTTGCACCTAGTAATGTGAGTTTGAAAACTCTTTGGAGAGTATTTGGAAAACCCCATGACAACCTTGCATCTCAATGATATTCCCATAATCAATCATGAGTGAATCAATCTCATTTTTTTCCCTTGAGACTTGACCCAATTTCGTTTTCCTTTTTTTAATGAACTGCGCCAGCTTAGCTTCTAAAGCCTTTTCTGTAGGTCTTATTGTTCTTTTTGGTCTGACGTCAGCATTTTCCACAGGCACTTCACGTTCATTCACGTTTGGATCCATAGGAGTTTCATTCGTTTCCACATTTTCCTTTTCAGCCATTGTTATGCTTTATTGTCATTAAACATCCACTTGTAAACAGCTGTTCTTATTTTAATGTTGCGCTTTGTTATTGTGTGGCTTGGCTCCGCGGCAGTAAGTCAGATAGACAAACTTATTAAAGCGCTTTTCAAGATGCGCTCCTTGAGTTACGTTCCACACTTTATTCATAAGCGAATTTATTCCACTTCCAGCATTAGACTATAGTGTTGTAACGATCACAAAGGGAGTCGGAAACAGGCTGCTAGTTATTAGGCTTTAATAACTCTTCTTCTTTACAGATGATCACAGGTTCAGGAACAGCTTGTGGGTTCAACCTCACACTCCACTCACACTAACTTCTACACATACCCATATATATAACAGTGTCTACGTCACAACTTCCCGCCCTCCCCCGTCTGCTCCCCCAACCACAGGCCCGCACCTCAACCAGCATCACTGTGCAGCTCTATGATTGGCAGAGAGACGGGGGATGCCTGAGTGACACCCTCAGCATCCTATACAGGGTCGCTACACTACCCCCCCACTATAAAGTTCCTCGCCCACGAGGAACAAATAAAACTCAGCACAAACACTACCCCCACCCTCTCCAGTACTCTGCAGGGACCAACCCACTGACTGTCCAGTTTTGGGCACCGGCCTTTCTTCCGTTGTGGGCTGTAGACCCAGACCAGCTCCCCGGCCCGGAAATGCTGCCCTCTTGTCCTGGTGTCATAGTTCCGCTTCTGTCCACCTCGTCCAGTCTCAGCTCCATCTCCTTCAGTTCGCCTCCGAGTCTGAACCTCACAGAGTCCAGGGTCTGCTCCCCCTCTGCCTTCATCGAGGCCTCTCTGTGTTGGGCGTTCTGCTCCATGGTACTCCTCTCCGCTATAGCTACGCTTGCCTGCTTCTGGGACTCATCCAGCTGAGATTTACAGGTATCCAACTCTGCTTCTGTCCTTTTCAGGTCTTCTAGAGTTTTCAAAGTCTCCAGTTGGGATTGTCCTAGCTTATTCTGGAGCTCGTTGTAACCTTGCTGCAGCGCCTTAGCGTCTCTACCCATCTCGCTGATCCTCTCCTGGTACTTGATGCAGTCCCTCTGCAGCTGCCGGACCTCCAGCTGCTTCTCCCTCAGCAGCTCCTCCTGCTTACCAGACTCTGCTTCTGCTCTCTCTGTGCTTGCCTCATGTCCTCCTCCAGCCTGGCGGCCCGGTCGCTCTCGCTCTGCACCTCAGCCTCCAACTCGGCCCTCTCCCTCGCCAACCGCTCCACCTCCCGCTGCAGCTCGGCCAAGTGCTCCGCCGCCTCCTGCTGGTAGTCTGCGATGCTGCCATTGAGCTGGGACAGCTGGTTCGTCAGACGCTCCTCCAGGTTGTCCTTCTCGGCTTCCAGGCTCCTGAGCTTTGAACTGCGCCTCCCTCTTGGCACCCTCCTCCACCAGGCTCCTTTCTCTCTCTTTGCCCTCTTGGAGGCACTTCTCCAGAGAGGCCACAAGGCTCTCCTTCTCTTTACTCTCCTGGAGATCTCGCTCAAGAGAGGCCAGCTCCGCTTTGAGTCTAGCCTCCTGTTGCTGTCACAGTTCCCTCTCTGCATTGACAGCTGCTTCCATCTCCCTCATTTTCTCCTCTAATAAAACTTGAACACTTTCAGTCATTTCGGTAACCCATACAGGCTTCTCCTCCACTCTGCAGCTCCTCACAGCCGGTGGGTACCGGGCCTTCCGTTGCTCCTCGCCGCTACACTCCACACAATCTCTCTCTCTACAGCCATCTCCAAGGCCGCCTGCAAGGACTGTGGATGCTGCAGCTGTACCCCAACCCTCAAGTCCGCAGGGAGGAGAGCCCTGATTAATTGATCACGTGCCAGCTCACTCTGCACTCCGGGTGGCATGTGTGCATATGCCCGCCGCGTCAGGCTCTCCACGTCGTTAGCCAACGCACGCAGCATCTCTCCAGACTTCCTACAGCGGTTACTCAATTTGTTCCGGAGCAGCTCTGGCGGGAAACACTGTCCAAACCGCCTCTTCAAAGCCCCCGCTAACGCTTCATAGCTGTGTCGGTCCTCAAGGCTAAGTAGTAGCAGACATGAAAGAGCCTCGTCTGTGAGGCATAGGGTGGCCATACGTCCGGTTTTAGGTCGGACAGTCCGGTTTTCAATGTCTGTGTCCGTCTGCCGGCGCAGCCTTGAGCCGGACGCTCATTTGTCCTCCTTTTGAGGTCATCCCTATTTTATACTTTTAGGGTATAAAAAAAAAATAGACAATTATACAAAGAAATACAAATAATAAGTTATGTGTAAGTATATACCCCCGTAAGACTTGTGGTCTTACAAATTATTGGCTGAATGCGATGTCAAATAAATATCTTGTATTTCATTGGTTCATAAACGTAAACAATTCGCATGTGCTTCTTGACGTCACGTTCACGGCAGCGCACTGTGGCAGAGAGTGACGTTAGCGCTAGCCGACTAGCTCATGAGCCAACTCCACCTAGTTAGCGGTAGGGTTAAACCGCAGAAATGCCGAAACGAAAGACTTCATTTAATCCTGAATGGTCGAAAGAGCATGGATTCCTCACAAAAAGCCGAAAGGACGACTTCCATGCTTTTTGCACGTTGTGTCGTTGCGATGTGGACGTAAGCAGCAAAGGAAAAGGTGCTGTCGACAGACATGCTAACACAGATAAGCACAAAAGCAACGATCAAAGCGCAGGTGCCTCTTCACTTTTATCGTTTTTCCGTGAAGCTTCATCGCCTCAAGATGACAAAATCTCTGCTGCAGAACTTTGTAAAGTGTATCATGCCGTGAAGCATCACCAGTCATACAGGAGTGTAGACTGTGGAATAAAAGTTGATCGCACAATCTACAACGACTCATCAATAGCAAAAGGGATGACCTGTGGAAAAACAAAGGCCAAAGCTTTGTGCGAAAATGTCCTAGCACCCTACTCTGTCCAGACGCATGTGGATTATATAAAATAAAATGAACTGCATTATTCAGTGGCAAGTGATGCATCAAACAAAGGTACGATCAAGTGTTTCCCCATTGTACTGAGATATTTTCACTTTGAGGAGGGCGTGAAACATGCACTGTTGGATTTTTACAGTGATAGCAACGAAAAGTCAGAAGCTATAACAAATCAGCTGCTATCTAAACTGGAGATGTCTGGACTAGATGTGAAAAAAATGTCAGCATATGCAGCAGACAACGCCAGCGTTAACTATGGAAAACACAACAGTGTTTATCAGAAACTGAAACTGGCTCAAAAAGACGTGCTCGCTGCAAACTGTTTAGCCCATATTCTGCACAATGCAACAAGATATGCAGCAAGCAACTTGGATATTGACATTGAAAATGTTGTGCTTAAGGTGTATAGCCATTTTAGCATCTCAGCTAGCAGAACGCGCAGTTGAAGGAATTCTGCGCGTTTGTGGAAGTGGAGGAATGCAATCTGCTGCGGCACATTGTCACGAGATGGTTGTCTCTGCTGCCATCTATTGACAGAATTCTGAAGTGTTGGAGACCCCTGACCAGCTACTTTCAGAGTCTAGGTGAGGAGGAATGCTCCAAGATGTTGTGGAAATGCTTTGGAGAGGATGGTAACGAAGTATCTGAGATGTATTTTCTCTTCCTCAGTCACATTCTGAAAGTGTTTTCAGACTGCATTGAAGCACTTGAGGCCAAATCATTCAGCATAACCTCTGTGTTTAAGGTAATGACTAAACTGAAAGGGAAACTTGAGAGAAGGTTAAAGGACACATTTTTTGGCTTTGCTGTGAACAACAAACTCAAGCAGCTAACCCCTGATCTCGCAAAGAAATGTGAGGCTGATTTTCTTGTTTTCTATGAAAGAGCCAAGAAATACGTGAGTGAAAGGTATGACTTCTCTGAGAACAGCTTTCATAGTAAAGTGTCAAAGCTTGGCCTCACAACTGCTGTGTCCTATGGAGAATACAGTGATGCAGTCCAAGCCTGCAGCCTGAAAGACATTGACATGGATGGACTCTATGAGGAATATGGCATGGTGGAAGCTATTCTCAGCTCTTCAGCAATGGAAGGATGCCACAGTGAGGAGCGGTATCTCAAACTGTTTTCCAAAGCAGAAGTCCCACTTGTGAATCTGAGGAAGGTCAGCGCCTATATCTTCTCCATCCCATGTAGCAATGCCCATACAGAACGTGTGTTCTCAATGATGACCTCAGCATGGAGAAATGAGAGAAATCGTCTGGATGTGGACAGTGTCAAGGCAGAGCTGCAAATTTGTGTCAAATTCACATTTGAGTGCACAGACATGTACCAGAGACTCCTTACAAACAAAAAACTCTTGGAAGCAGCCAGGAAAGGGCAAAAGTATAAAAAATAGACATTCAACTTGTGGTTAGTACACTAGTCTCATTGTGTTTTGAGTGTGAAGGATTCTGTGAAGCCAGGATAAAAACTAAAAGATAATCCCAAAGTGTCCTCCTTTTTGGTGTTATGGAAATGGCCACCCTAGTGAGGCACAAAGCTAGCTGTAGTGCTTTAGTCTCTATTGACCACCCCCCGGCATGTGCAAGTAGTTCAAATTGGGCATGGAAAGCCTCCCAGTCTGCCTTACCCGAGTATTTGGGTGTTTTCACGGACGCGGCGGCTGCTACTGGTTGCTGGGCGCCGCCATTGTTGTTTACATCCAGCTTGTAAATGCCGCTGAAGACCGCGACATTCCCGCGTCTCTAGCCATCTTCACCGCCGACTCTCTCAGGCGCTCTCTCGCCTCCCGTGCACTCATGAACTCTCCACTCATGTCCTTCGACCACCCGCATGCTCCATCTTTCTCTCCATCACTACTTTCCTGCTTCACTCCCATCTTGCTGAACTTTTCCATCTCCGCTAGCTTACCGGCTAGCTCCGTGACGCAGTTACGAACTCCCGTCAGGATAGACGTCCTCCGTTCGAAAAGTCACTTCTGACACCAATGTAACGATCACAAAGGGAGTCGGAAACAGGCTGCTAGTTATTAGGATTTAATAACTCTTCTTCTTTACAGATGATCACAGGTTCAGGAACAGCTTGTGGGTTCAACCTCACACTCCACTAACACTAACTTCTACACATACCCATATATATAACAGTGTCTACGTCACAACTTCCCGCCCTCCCCCGTCTGCTCCCCCAACCACAGGCCCGCACCTCAACCAGCATCACTGTGCAGCTCTATCATTGGCAGAGAGACGGGGATGCCTGAGTGACACCCTCAGCATCCTATACAGGGTCGCTACAGTGTATTGCAGTGGTTCTCAAACTTTTTTCAATAATGTACCCCCTTTGAAAAAAAAGTTCAGCCAAGTACCCTCTGATCAGCGCAAAAACTATTTGTTAAGGAAAAAATGCCTATACAAAGAGGTACAGTACAGCGCTGCACCATCAGTGTCTGATTTATTAAAACAACAACATTGTAACTGAGAAACACTTAAATGCTACATTTCAAATGTTTACAATCCATCACTAAATTCATGGCAAACCAATTTTAACATCATGCAATAACACTAAGACGACATTAGTTGCATTGAACTGATCTTTTTAATAAGTTGTACGTACAATTTAGTGAGAAACATGGGCTTGTGCTTCACTGAGGACCTTCGTCATTCTGACAGGGAGGCACCTGCAGTTATTACACTTCTCATTTTGAAATATGTGTAACTCTGTTCATATAAAACCCACACTGCTCAAACTTCGTTACTTTTCCTAAAATTGGTATATGTATTTATTTAGGGGGTGGGGAATGAAGAGAAAAAAATATGAGCATTTTATGAGCATGGGATTTTGACCCCTCATATAAACATATGCATAATGCTGCGCTATACTTTACAAGCCATTGCCAAACAACGCTTATTATGTAGGTGTCCTTTGATAAGCAGGCAGTCATATCATTAGCTAGATCTGATAGATTTGGACATAAACGCGAGTGAAGTCTAACCGGACGCGAGAGAGAGAGATCAGAGATCAGATCAGCTGCTGCTGACGGAGAACACGCAGCTCTGCATGATCACAGCTCCGCCGCTGTGACGGACCGTTGAGTGGAGCAAAATTAAATATACCAAGAGTTAGACCTAACACGCTTAGCTAGTTTATCTACTCTGGAACTAGCTAAACTAGTTATAAATATGTGTATTCTTTACTGTAGGGTCACTTATTACAGGTTCAGCGAGCTGCACGAGACTGACGAGCTGTCAGGAGAGGGAGAGGAAAAGAGAGCACCCAGTTTATTTTCCCCATTTTATTATCCAGAATTACTGTAAACCTTTGAATAAAGTAGTTACTATCAGTAGTTTGTTTACATGCATTACTTATGTTGTTTTTTTCATTAACATCAAATAATTCTCACGTACCCCTTGCAGTACTCCAACGTACCCCTAGGGGTCCGTGTACCCCCATTTGAGAACCACTGGTGTATTGCAACATCCACAACATGCGGCACAAGCGTTTTTCCACAGAAATCCACGTTGTCACAATCCAGAAAGTCAATGCGGTCCTTCCTTGTTCACTATGAAGTCCGTGATTTGTAAACTCACGATTCATATAGATATATCGAGGAGCTTTTTCAGCCATAAATCAGGCTTGGTTTATACTGTAGCTCATAAAAGCGATTATACAAGTGGAATAGTTCAATACATTCATCAAAATACAGAAAACCTCATACATTTCTTTACTCTCTCCTGCTCCACCATGTTTATATTTGTGCAGCTCCTGTGTCTGCTCTGCCTAAAATGGTCAGATTAGGTGAGGAGAATCACAATAAAACGATAGAGACTAAGAACTTTATGTGGATCACTTTAATATATGTTATACAAGTGTTTCTTAGATAAATACACTGTCTCCATGGTGTTTGTGTGTGTTGCTAGGTTAGAAGAGGGGAAATCTTCTTCTCACAGATTATGAAAAAGGCATGTGAGCAGAAAGACAAACACAACTTGTGCCGGTCAGCACCTTTCCTTCCCTTCCCTCATCTCTCTTTCATCACGGTCGCTTTCACTCTTCCTGTCTTTCCATCACTCGCCCACCCTCCTCCTCTCCTGTGTGGTTCATCACTCCCCCTCTCTCATCACTCTCTGCTTCCTTTCTTTGGTTTGTCTTCCCCATGGGTATAGCTCTTGTACTCTGCTGCTCATCTTTCAACTGCCCTAATTTTTCTAGCTCACCCTGCCCTCTTACCAGCGTCACTTTTTCACACTTGTGTCATTTGTCTTCCTTTTTGAAGCACCAATGCAAACAATTATCTGCAGCGTTCATCTCGTTCAGGATCAGCAGATGCATCAAGTGTTCTTGAATTTCACCATTGTGCATCAAGTAACTGTTTTACCCTGCAGGAGTAATTCATTCTGTGAATGTTTTTTTTATGATAACCTTCAGCTTCATCATTTAAAAAGCTTCTGATTAAGCTGCTGTTTATGGCTCAGAAGACAAATAAATTCACATATTCATCCACTGTCTTATCTGCAATTTATACTTTTATGGTTACACTTGATTTTAAATGTTTTAATGTTACTGGCTCCTATAATGTTCACTTTTTTTTTTAAAATACTGCTACTTATTTTTTAGCATCCTGTATGTGTACTCTTTTCACTCTTGTCATGTATCTTCTTCTTAGCTTATATAATCCCGTAATTCCCCCCTCTGTGGGACAAATACATGGATTTCGGATTCCGATGTTCAAACCCTGGAGAAAGCAGTTTGATATAGTTTGCAACAGTATTGTCAAAGTGTGTTTCAAAGGCTTTTTTTATCCCTATAGTCACGTACTAAATGTCCTTATAATACAACTATTCATCAGCTTATTTTAGACCCTCCCTTCTGGTAAATGTCCCCCTCTATCTAACTGCACAAGTTTAATGCAGGTTTCCCGTTAATAAAATGTCTCCGAAACACTCCTGATGATATCATTGTCTGTTTTTTATTAGACTTGGCCACGATCCTACAGAGCTATTCCAATGTATGGTGCCCTTTAGTGTAACTAAAAGGACAATTTCCTTTTCCTTTTTGAAGATATTTTGAAGATATCTACCCTTAGAGTCAGATTCAACTCAATATATAGTTCAGGCTTAATCGCACAGTTAGCATATAAATTAATTTGGTGCCTGCAAAGCTTCTTATAATTTTTTTGGGAATGGCGTTAGGTCTTTTGTCGAAACCCTGAAATGTCAAATATACAATCACATAGAACAAATACAATTCGAAAATGATCAGAGTGTAAGGCGTTTTTGCTTGATTAATGACTTAAATGGTTTATTCATTATCAAAAAAAATGTTGGTTTAGCCAATACTGCTTGAATGGTGGAATCATCTAAGATTTGGTTTGTGTATTTGAGTCATCTTTAAACTCAACTAATTGTACCCAATCACATTTATACAAGAAATTGGACAGAGAGACGTCAGTCGCAGTATATCCCGATATTTCATTGTACATAAAGGCTGTGTGTAATCCTCACATTGTCATCACAGTCAAATTGGCTGACAGAGATTACCTTATGTCTTCCAGTTGAAAGATGGTGGAATAACACACAACAATATGTGGCTGAATGATAGTTACTATAATCAACATGTGATATGCAGAAAAGGTCACTGAGAGAAAGCCCTGAAGGTATTTCACCCCGTTTTCATTTCATTTCAAACCTTTATTTAGACAGATAAATCCCATTGAGATCATTGATCTCTTTTTCAAGGGAGACCTGCTCAAGTAGTTCCACATGAAACATAAAAACATAACGTTTTGTGCAAAAGATGAAACTTCAAAACCCTACGTTTCTTTTCATGTGATGTTTTTGTCGGACTCGTTGGGGGAAGGTATTGTAAATTGTCTATATTAGAAGGTCAGAGGACGAGAGGTGTGGTTCATATTTGTTTTGAGATTTATCAGCTATACTTTCATCTCATGCCATTATAAATCTTACATTTTGGGGAGTGGACTGTGACCTTTGAACTCTAGATTCTGATTCATCAACAATACATCCCATAATAAATAACAGGACCCTGACATATAAAGAACCCACTAATGACCCCATACACACATATACAATGACAGTGAACTCAGCTTCACCTTGTCCCATTTCCTGACTGACAAACACAAGCCCTGTGATGTGAACGTAGCCAAGAACCCGTTTTGTCCTGCTTTTCCACTGCAAATTAATTTTGAAACGCTGATTTAAATGATTGCCTTGCTCACACACAAATGCACACAGTTTAGTATAACACACAGTGCAGTCGCCAAATAGTATTCTTTTGAAGGAACTCCCTTGTGTCCAATGCTTTGACATACAGACTGCAGGACTTGACAATAGGTCATTAATCACAACTGAGATACACACAGACCCACAAACTGAATGTGATTCCACAGGTGAAATCATATTGTTTTTCTGACCTCATTTAACTTCCAATTGAAGGCATGGGCCAAGACCTGAAGTCTGACTCTGATTTTAAAAACAAGCTTCTATTTTATGTTTACAAGAGAAGTCATAGGAACATTTGACTGTTTAATAAACTGCAGTTCAACATATTATGTTCAAAAATACATCTTAACTTCATTCGTCATTTTCATAAATATAAATTATTTGGCAGAAAGCTCATTCTTAAGCTTTTCCCTCTGTGTGCAGGAACATCTGCTGGAGGTTTGAGGAAGTGTCAATGGTTTTCAGGAAGTATCCCGCACATTGTTTTAAATACATGGATCTGAGCCAGGACAGACTGAAAGGTGACTGTATAAACAGGTTTTGGTTTGAGGATCAGCAGAGAACACATCTCCTATTCGTGTTAAAACTGGATTTGTTTTTAACAAAACAAAACAAAAGACATAAAAAGAAGAGGATATCAATTGGACTTGTATCCATAAAATGTGTAAAACAACTATCAAGAATGCTTCTCTAATAGCCTTGATTGACAGTTTCAGTATTTCAAGTTCCTTTATCTGTTCTTCTTCTGACATTTCTCTGATATGACAATAACATACCTCCACATAGTGCAGTGTTGCCACAAATATATTCCTAACTAGTACTGCCACCTTCTGGTGTTTATTTGTAGCCACAGATAATAGACTCATTGAAAACCTGTTACATTGATGTACATGTAAAGCCATGGTATTTCACCTGTCCAGCACTATTTGTAACTCCCGGATCAATCATCATCTTTGAACATTTGATTTTACAATGTGAAATAATGTTACAGAACACCAACAAAACTGGACACAAAAAGATTAAATTGTTCAATTGAGCTAAGAGATAATTTGTTGTCATCTAAAATGAATGCATTGTTGAGACAAGTCAATAAGCAACTGTTGTTTCACTTTTGTTTCACCTTTGTTTTTAAGACTTCACTTTGTGTCCTTACTCGCCACAGCAGGTCTGAGGTGTAACTAATCACTGGTATACAGCCCAATAGGAAGCAGGACAGACTGTAAGTAAGCAGCAAGTGAGCTTAACATAGGAGAAACTGAGGGGACCAACTTATCCATATTAAAATAGGAGGCTGCCTTGTACCATGGACCATGACAGACAGAGCCAAAGGAAAGACAAAAGGCCAACAGGCAGTGGCGATTCTAGAGTCTGTGGGGGCCCTAGGCAAACATTCACTGGGGGCCCCTCGATCCAGCTTTTCACCACCCTCCCGGAGCGGAGCAAGGCAACGAAATTTAAGATAAGAAGCAGCATTTTACGGCGCGCTATGCATGGGGCCGCCTTGAGGGGGTTTCCCGACATGGTTGCAGTACATTAAAGGGTGTTTCATGTTGTCGTTGGTGTGGACCTTCTTAATCTACCTTCTTTGGGGGCCCCCTTCTGGTCCGGGGCCCCAAGCAGTTGCCTGCCTTGCCTGTTCGCAAGCGGCGGCCCTGCCAACAGGTGCCTTTTATATGCAGTCCTAATGAGGGGAGCGGTCGGGGAGGAGTCAGGCCCTGAGCTGCATTCAAGAGCATTCAAGAGCACTGCACTCATTTTGAGAGAATTACCCACTACACCTACATCATGAACATGCTTTTGCTTTCATGGCCTCCTCTCTGAACATGAGGTCCAACAACAGTCAATTCTAGCCACACTTTAAGGGTTTTAATGGATTTCTGCATGGTTTAAGTTTTTAAGGGCACTTTAATTTCTCCCTTTATAGAGATGGACCAAAACAAATATAAAATAAGTGTGTCCTACTTGTCCAGATTTGTAATACACAGAGGTTGGAAAAATACTCAGCTTGTGTACTTATAAGTAAAGTTAGAAGTACCAGAGTGTAGGAATACTCTGTAACAAGTTAAAGTACTGCAATCAAAATGTTACTCAAGTAAAAGTACAAAAGTATCATCCTATAAATATACTTAAAATACAAAAATTAAAAGTAGGCTACTCATTATGCAAATTGCTCAATTTCAGAATAATATATATTGTATATTTTCATTGTACTTATTGATGTATTAAAGTGTTTATCACAGCTGGTAAAGGTGCAACCAGTTAATTAATTTCTATACTGCAGGGTAGCTTGTAAATGTTACTCCAAGTGTAACTAAAGTCTCATTTAAGTGTTGATGATTAGATTTCCAATCATTTATCCAAGTAAATAAAGTTATTGAATAAATGTAGTGGAGTAAAAGTACACGATTTACCTCTGAACTCTAGTGGAGTAGAAGTACAAAGTAGCATAAAATGGAAATACTCAGTATACTATCTCAAAATACAACAGTACTTGAGTACATCTATTTGGTCATTGATTTAGGAAGCTATTAAGAAAAAAATCCCATCCACTTTTTGTTAGCAACTAACCATAACACTGGGCTGCATCCCATTGGTGGTTTTTGCCTGTAATTTTGACTTCAGACGCTATGTGGCGCTCTCGCTTCGTCAGAGCAGCTCCTCCTGCCCGGTGAAAGACGCTCTGACAGCTCCGAGTGTGGAAAACCTTCAGAAACTCAGCATCCAGCTTCACACCGGAGCTCTGACAGGGAGGGATGGACGCCTCTGCACCGGGGCAGGGGGCTGAGGTTGTCTGTCGGCGGGGAGGGGAGCAGGCTGAGGGCGTTGGGAGGAGCAGGTGGAGGAAGACGAAACCGTCTGTTTCGATTTAATTCTTCAACCGGCAGGGTGGAGAGGTTCAGCAGTCCGTAGCCTGGCAGTGTAATCCTCTTGCCGGGAGGAGCAGGGAAAGCCCTCCCCAGACTGAGCCGCAGAGAGGAGCCGAGATTAGAGCCGGACACACGGGGAGAGTTCACCGGAGTTCTTGCTCTTTTTTTGGAGCTTTTGTCCTGCTGCTGGGAGCTGAGTGATACAGACTCTGAGGATCATTCACACTTCACATCATGAGTGGACCAACAAATGGTAAGCAATGTGTGTGTGTGTGTGTGTGTGTGTGTGTGTGTGTGTGTGTGTGTGTGTGTGTGTGTGTGTGTGTGTGTGTGTGTGTGTGTGTGTGTGTGTGTGTGTGTGTGTGTGTGTCATAGTGTGAGTTTAAAGTGCACACGTGTAGGCTATGTGTGTCTTCATGTGAGTTTGCCTCTTCTGAATCAATAGTGTGTCCTGGGAGGGTTTAACCTGAAGCAGACATAAACAGTCTTTGCCTGAGGTTATTGATCACTGAATCACTTATTGACATTGCATTTTATCTAGCCATTAGCTGGGTGCCTGTCAATGAAGGTTAGAGACGATATCAGAGGATGATATTGTGTATTGATATCTGATAGAATTCATCAGTATTTTCATCAGTGTTGTTCTGGGATGATTTGTATTTCATAGTTCTATAAAACCAGGGATTCCTCAACTGGAGAAATTCCCACAGTCACATGCATCCTTCATTTTATTTAATACACATGTGTAATTGCTAATCCAGCCATGTATATGCATATGTTTTGTATTTGTACTTATTATAATCAATACTAGTCAAGTAAGATACTGTTATTGGAAATGCCTGTAAAAGCTAGTCAGATATTTTGGAGAGAAGAAAGGAACCCTGCTGTTTTTTGACAAAGCAGCACATCTTTGGTGTACACTGTGCCAGGCACTTATTAAAATGTCCCCATGTCTAAACATAGACATTACATTACTGTAAAGCAGTTTTTTTTTTATTAATATGAAACCGCTAAATCCCCAAATATTCTTTTTTTCCTCCAAAATATACAAACAAAGCAGCTCTACAGAACGACACATTGCTGTGCTTTCCAGTAAGAGAACATCAAGCAGCTACTCAAAGCTCCTAGCAGCCATTCAGTTTTATATGTTTCACCTTAGGGAGATATTAAACCCTTTTAAAGGTCCCGTCGGCACGATTATGACCACTTCCAGTCTATCAGAGGGGCCCAGGCTGAGCAGCTGTAACCAAGAAAATGTCCCACAGAAAAGAGGAGGATTATCTTCTGGCAGACTGGTCTGGTTCACACTATGGGAGACCTTATTGTTTTTTATCCAAACTCTTTCTCCCTAAGGTCAAAGGTCAGGATAAATATGTATTGCTGGGAAAGTGAGACTTTGAAGCAACTTGTGAGGAATTGTAGAGATTTTGAAGTGACATTTCATTGTATTAAAATAAAATGTAATCCATGGTGTCAGAAATGTTTTGCTTCCCTATTGTTGCACACTATCATGAAGTCAGTGAGACTTTTGTTTGATACCTTGTTTTTATCAGCAGTTGCTTGGATGTTGTGGATCAGTATTCCCAACCTAGGTGTCAGGATCCCCCCAAAAGTGACAAACTAAATCTGAAGGGTCAAGAAGAAATACATTTGGGAAGCAGCAGTAATGTAACACTGCACAAACATATTGTTACCATCACACACACACACACACACACACACACACACACACACACACACACACACACACACACACACACACACCCACACACACACACACACACACACACACACACACACACACACACACACACACACACACACACACACACACACACACACACTCACACACACACACACACACACACATTGAGGCCCATATAGCACATATTCACCAATTTCATAAAGTAAAATGTGCAACATAGTACCAATAGCAAACACATAATAACACAACAAATAACAAATTAAGGCTCTCTCTCCGTTTTTCTCTTGCAAACATGCCCACACACACACACACACACACACACACACACACACACACACACACACACACACACACACACACACACACACACACACACACACACTCTAACACGTGCACAAACACACACAGGTGGCTTTTCTATGTTGTCTGTGGATCCAGTCCTTGTGCTGCCATCTGGCTACAGAGCCTATGCCAGCTTTTTAGTTGTGCACACTCACACACACACACACACACACACACACACACACACACACACACACACACACACACACACACACACACACACACACACACACACACACACACACACACACACACACACACAGACTTACACACTCATTCAATGAAGATACAATTTGTTAGGAAACATTTTTGTCCCAGTTTTACCTTTTTTTTCTCCTGAAAACATTTATAGATCCATAACTCTCCCCCTCCTTTCTCCTGCTGTCATCAGCTTAACCTGCCTGCCTGCATGTTGTGTTTGTGTGTGTGAGTGTGTTTGTGTGTATGTGTGTGTGCTGCAATTGCATAATACTTTGGGAGGCAGCAGCATTAACTGTAAAGTGATTGAATTGAGTAGACTAAAGGAGAATTGATTATTGCAGATTGTTGCACACTGGATAGAGGTCAGCTTATTCTTGTAGGAAATCCAAATCAATATTGATCAAATATGCTGTCACTCAGTGAAACCACATAATTACTGTCTATTGTGACAGTGACACGGTGTGTGTGTGTGTGTGTGTGTGTGTGTGTGTGTGTGTGTGTGTGTGTGTGTGTGTGTGTGTGTGTGTGTGTGTGTGTGTGTGTGTGTGTGTGTGTGTGTGTGTGTGTGTGTGTGTGTGTTTCAGACACTGAAAACAATATTTATTTTTTTATTAAAAGGGATTTGAGCCGTTTCATAAGCAAAGATGAGAGAAGTGTAATCCCAAAAAGCCCCTTGTGCCCTTTTCTGTCTCATGACATAGGATGATCTTTATTTTGTATCATACTCGAATACAAAGACATTTTCCAAGGCTTGTATAACACAAAGAAACAAAAGCACTAATACAAGTGCTAATATTAGCATAGATTAATTTAGCTACAATTGTGTATATGTACATGTATAGTTCTTTTTTCAAGATTACTTTTTTGGCATTTTTACTTTGGTTGATAGAAGATAGAAAACAAAACCTGAAAAAAAAATTGCTTTAGTAAAAGTATTCAGTCAATTCTAAGTATACAATTGCACAGTGTACTGCATTCATTAAAATATGCAAAGTGTAACAGTTATTATAACAAATCTCTTCCATTGGAACATTAGTGGAGGGTTCAAATATATATATACATATATTCCGGACAACCATACAGCCATCAACTTTGAAATGTCTCTATAAGTCAGTAGAGTACATGTGTTTTTCTACACCTGTCCGTCTCTTAAGCTTGTAATTAATGGTTGTAAGTCGGGCTGATCTCCCTGGCAGAGAAGCAAGCCACTACGAGTTTTAAAGTCAATCACTAAGTCCTGCACTAAGATTTCTCCTCTACTGTACATCTTCTCTTGATGAGATAATAAAAAAGTGAGATGGCTAACTCGTTAGATACTTCTATTGGCATTCATTGTCTGTACATATATATATATTTGTTGATGTTGATGAAGTGTTTAACCTGAGCTATTCAGTACAACAATGATAACAATCATATCACAGCCTTACATGGTTATTCTACACAGTATACAGCTATTAATAACAGTATTGTGTTTTTTGGTTTGTTTAAATGCACTTAATTTGAATCTGTAATCTGTATCAGGTGATACGCACGTTCATCTATTAGAATCGGTATATAGAAGTAAAAATAAACATCATTTTATGACAATCCCTCTGATAGTCGAGATATTTAAGGACAAAGTGGTAGTTCATCATTGACATTGCTATCGCTTAGTTGAACCACACTGCTAGCATGTTTAAAATCTGTTCCTCTCTCTCTCTCTCTCTCTCTCTCTCTCTCTCTCTCTCTCTCTCTCTCTCTCTCTCTCTCTCTCTCTCTTCCTCTTTGTTTGTTTGTGTGGGGAGACATGAAGGCATACATCCTTTGTCCTCAGACCAGACAAACTGCCTCCACTATGCACTGTGTGTGTGTGTGTGTTGTGTGTGTGTGTGTGTGTGTGTGTGTGTGTGTGTGTGTGTGTGGTGTGTGTGTGTGTGTGTGTGTGTGTGTGTGTGTGTGTGTGTGTGTGTGTGTGTGTGTGTGTGTGTTTGAGAGATAATGTTTGTGTTATTTGTGTATCTATATGATTGCTTAAAGTCAAAATCATTGATTCTGATTTGTTTCTGTGATATACTGTAAAAGACAAACCTGAACATCTGTTTTCGGATGTGTTATACATTAAAGCTTGCCACATATCATATGTAGACTAGACAAGACACTGAGAAGAGAAAAACATGCATGTGTTCCTTTTTTCGATGTGTCAGGCACATTTTCTTATCCCTTTGATCAGATGTTTGAATCCTGTTGGAAGAAAGACAAAAGTAAAGGCTTCGAGATGATGACAAGTGACATGTTTTGGATCATCTCCCCTCCTCAGTTCAGTACCAGTCAGGTCTTTATGGAGAAAACAACAACAGCAGTTCTCCTATCTCCAGCCGTGGCAATTCGCCCATCGCGTGTGAGCGATGTGGGGAGGTGTGTCGTGGAGAGGTGGTGCGCGTCAAAAACACACACTTCCATGTTCAGTGCTTCACCTGCCAAGGTAAATTCACCGCACACCTACAAACACACACACATGCTTCCATATATTCTGTGAATATTAACACTTTCATAAATGCACACACAAATGTAAAAACACTCACGTTCGTCTACAGTACATTCTCCACTTCCACACATACACACAACATTTCATATTTATGTATTTTTATGTCTCAGACTAATGCCTTTGTTTCCATGTATGGATTCCACCCACATCACTTTGCATAATTAAATATTAAATAGTTACCAGTACTCAGACCAGAAGGAACCAGTGTAATTGAAACAATTATAGCTTCACTGAAATAGAAGCTGAACTCTGACTCCACCAAGATCAAAGTCCTTCACACATTCTTTCAGTAATTCAGTCATTTGATGCCTCTGCCACCACATATTAAAGGTGAGATTTGATATCTCCGTAAATTGCAGCTGAACAAATCTTTGAACTTTTAATCGTTTGAGGTGTCGTAGTTTTATCTGAACATCCCAGCAGCCACTGCAGCACAACTATTGAAGTCTACTGGGGACAATCCTTCAATATGTGACTCCCATTCACACTTTACGCTTCATGCAATTCTCGCAGATCAGAGAGCTATGTGGTAGGCTATCAAAAGGCTATAAGCATCCACAAAAATGACAGATGATACCAAACTGGTTGCTTAAGAGACTGATTGTTTGTTAATGTCCCTTTCACAAACATAGCCCTGCTCTTTAACTTACTTAATTGTTGTGTTGTATATTTTAAACCATTAATGATAACGTCAAGTCAATTAAATTGAGTGGTTCAACATTTTTGAAAAATATGCTTTCTTTTCGAGAGTTAGATGAGAAAATTGATACTACTCTCATGTCTGTACACTTAAAGGTGGGGTAGGTAAGTTTCAGAAACCGGCTCGAGTGCACTAAAATTTGAAAGTACACAGCCGAAAAGAATCCGCCCCTTCCTTCAGACTTCCTTAGAGCACCTCCTCCAACACACATGAACGCGCAATGCACGCCCAATGAGGGCACGAGATACATTTGTGTGTGCACAAGATGGAAGGCTGACAGACAGGGCGGCAATCCAATCCGTTTAGCCGGATTGGTCGTGCTTTTTACAGTATTACGGCTTCCACAGATGAAATTTTGTTATGGATTTTTTGTCAAAGCACTTAAGATATTCATTGCTATCGGGATGTTAAGAGCATTCCATGGAATATAACAACAAGTGTATCTCGAGCCGGTTTCTGAAACTTACCTACCCCACCTTTAATATTAAAGGTCCCCTATTATACTGTTTTTCATCAATATATTATAGGTCTGTGTTTGGATCATTATAGCATCCCATAAACCCCTCTGTTTCAAAGTGCTGATTCTCTGTCTGTTACTTTAGATGAAAATAAGGAGCCACTCCCCACGCCCCTCTGAGAGATATTTGGTTAAAATTAACACAATGGTGCTCTAGGAGGAGATTCAGGTGATACACTCTAAAAAATGCTCGGTTATTTCTATAAACACATTGCTGGGTTGATTTGGCTGGGTCATAACTATGGGTTATTTGGGTACTGTAAACACACTGGTGGGTTGTTCATGCTGGGTCAAAGGGGTTATTAGGGCTTCAATTGCAGTTGAACACCTGCCTGGGTTATATTTAACCCAGAGGTTGCTTTATTCATTTTCCCACTTCTGAATCATTCTGGAACCATCTTTTTGTCATTTCTCACAACACAAGGTATGTAACCTACATTTTATCACTATATTTGACCTATATTTAGATAATTATACAATTCTGTAACTTATTGAATCACTAGTAAGTGATTTTGAAAAACCACTACAACCACAACAGTGATTTTGAAAAACCACTACAACCATAACAGTGATTTTGCAAAACCACTAATCAGCCAGTGATTTCACAGAATCACCAGTGTTCTTGCATACTGTCAGACTGAACATTACAAGCTTCTGAAAGAAAATTGATTGTTTTAACTCAAACATTTAAAAAAGTTAATTCACCGCTAATTTTCTGATGAACTGATTTATTATTGTGTATACAGTGTTCAACCACTTTGGGTCATATTGGTAATATAGGTGGGGGGTGTTACCTTGGTTGGTGATTGGCTAATGGTTACACAAGCCAACAAATCGTTATGACATCATAAAGTGTCCAAAATCTGATCAGCTAATTTTCAGACAGGTTTTTATATAACTGGATCAGGACAAAAAGTGAGCAAATTATTTTTCCTGAAATGTTCCGAATGTCTGGACACTGAGGGGACACACGTTTATGTAAGACATGAACAAGTGGATTTTGCATAATAGGTGACCTTTAAGCTAGAATCATGAGTTGATTCGCTTACCTTAGCATTAAGACTGGAAGCTGGAGGAAACAGCTAGCCTGGCTCAGTCCAAAGTTAACTACATCTAAATTCGACAAATTAACACATTGAATCGTGTTTGTATATATCATTGACGAACATACATTTCAAAATGATAGTTGCTGTATTACCCTTTTTCTTTGAGTCCCACCTTTAAAAAGTAAATATAACTGTGCAACTATAAGTATTCCACATGGACATGAGTAGTGGATATAGGACAGGAATATTAACAGTTGGGAAATACAAGTTAAAACTGATTTATTTCCATGTATTCATGAGCGTGGTCATATATGAGCGTGTGTGTGTCTTTGCATGTTGGAGCTCCAGCAGTGAGCAGGTGGGGCAGAGCGCTCAGAGGTCTGGAGTCAGCAGCTGGCATAGCAGTGCAGTCAGCAGCTTTCAGCCTGGCGTCAGACTCCTACCAGCTAACCTCCTTTCACAGGCCGGGACCCTCACTGTCCCAAAGCGCGCTGAAGACAATGTTGTTTTCTCCGTTTGATCTGCCAGTAACATCGCATGAATGCACTCAGCCTCAAAACACCAGAAAAAGGAGGGTTTTCTTTTTATTTCATGTCATGCAACATTGCAGACCTTAAAAATAACTTGAGCTGAATAAACAGCTTCGATAGTTTGTTTGATGGAATAACTGATTGTTTAATCAGAGCACTCCTAGTTTCTGATAGGACAGACACCAGCTGGACTTATTGATGGAGATGCTCTCTCTTTGATATTTGGGAATTTATTATAATGGACAATTGATCTTGCGGAGTAAGCTTAATGACTTCTAGCTAATGGACCCTAAGTAGACATCAGCTAACGAAGTGGACAAAAATCAAATAGTCAGCTTTTAGTACACAGGCGTCTTATTTTTGTCTTATTTTTCCTCTGCTTTCCGTCCCCGCTCTGTCGCTCTCTTGTCTTACATGCTTGGTTTGTAGCTGTGAATGTCAGAGAGATACAATGAGTCTTTGTTTGGTTAACAGTTTAATCTCCTTTTAGTGTGGCTATTTAGGATTGAAAGATTGTTTAAGGAGAGAGAAGAACAGATTTGGGATAATGAGAAATATAAACAGAAGAGAGGAGTGAGATAGATGAGACAGCAGCACTGTGTTGTTTGTAATTGGTATTAATGAATCACTTAGGTGCTAGAACTTAATTAAAGTGAAGTTTATCCTGTTTTCCATGTTTTTATTGTACACAAATGTATACATTTATTTTTCTGATTTACACTTGTGTTGGAATAATTCAGTCAAATGTCAATTACCATGAACATGTGTAAGACATGCATGGTCACCAGAGGATACATCATACTGTACATACTTATGTCCAGTTAACATTAGAGTGTGAATTCACAGAGTGCATAGCTACAGTAGCATGTCTGTGGACTCTCAGTCTTGTTAATGAAGTACTTTGCACCTTCTTAAAGTCCTTAATTGAGTTATCAATCAAGTATTAATATTTGGGATACTATGACAAGCTTTACATTATGCGAAAGTTGAACGTTTCAATCCCTCTAGATCTAAACAGTGGGCCCTACAGGGGTGATCATGATACAATAAAAAAAATCAAGTGAAAAAACAGTTTAGGAATAAAATGATGTGAAAAATATCTGTAGAGCAAACAACTCTATCGTCTCACAATAAAAAAAATGCAATTGCCAAGATCTGCAGCATTTTGGTTTTAACAAGAACATAAACTGTAGATGTTTCTACAAATAACTACATAACATATATACCATGCTCTGTATGTGGCGTCACATCACTAACAAAGCACAGAATGCATACTGATGAAATGTTCAAGGCTACTCTCTAAGCTCTGCAAATAATATTGTTTTGCTCTCATAACATATCGTATAAAATATGCAACATGTTCATAAATTTGCCCTCATTTTAAAATGAATGATGCCAGTTTTCGGAGTACATTGACCATGTCCTGCTGGGAATGTAAATAGCCAGTCATAACTCCTCAATTTGATTGACATATTCAATGACTGTAAAAAGAAAATCCATATTGTGGCATATATTTACACCGCTTATACTGTATAGACCGATCCATCAGTTCGAATCTAGAGTGGTTAGAGTTTCCCTTTTCTTCTCCGCCTCTGCTCCTCTTTGATCCGCCTGTCCATCCTGATCACATTAATGCAAATGCAGAGAAGGAAATCCATCCCATGTTGATGATGCGGGTAGATGAGGGAAGACAGTGACAGGACGGCAGACGTGCGCTGGATGGACAGATCGATAGCCTCATTGATACTTCCCCCCGTCTCTTTCCCCACATCCTTATCCCCTCACTTTGCTCCCTGCTTCCCTTTCTCCTCACATATGATGCCTTCTTATTTTTTCCTCCTCCACTAATCTCTCCCTTGACTCCCATCTTGGCTTTCGTCTCTTTTCTTCTTGTCTCGTTTTAGCCTTGAGTCTAAAATAATCCTCTCCTCTTTTGCACCACACAATTCCTCATCTGTGACCTTACAGCATCTATCATTGTAAAGAATACAGTCAGTAATTACTTGCCCCAAATAATCTGATTTGAACATCCTAATTTTGGAGTCTTTCATAATATAAATCTAATTTATTTAGTACAACAGGCCCAGACTTAATTTACTTACATGAATTGTACAACAGCAGGGTCCACACCTTCACGTCAGAAT